TTGTAACAAAATAAAACTGTAAACCATAAAAAATTAAAATAAAAACTGTTATCTAAAATTAAATGTACAAAATGCAAATTCCAGTGCATAATCCATAAATATTCCATAAATGTGTATAAATACAATGAATTCTTTCACTATAATTTGAGATGTCAATAGTTTATATAAATACACGTATCCAATCATGAGGTGTCTGAAGTGACAAATTTTCCATTCCGAGTCCTTTCAGAAAGACTGATGTAATGTACAAACATGATGAGGAATCTCAGTACAGTGATTTCATGCCCTCCTCCTCAAACTGTGCCCAGGCGTCATTCAGTTCTATAAATATCAACTTGGCTAAAGCCTCATGGGGGGTTCCACCAAGCTTAAAAAGAAATGTAATAAAGTTAGACATATTTTAAAGCCAAGCTTATTTTCATTTAAACTATGCGTATGAAGAATGTATCAAAGAAGAAGATATGCCTCCACTAAAGCTGCTTGGAACGAAACCAATATAATCTGGCCTAGAGCAGCTTTGAGCACCAGTAATGATAACATTAAATTGTACTCTATTTTATTTTTTTTCCAGTCAAAAATCAATTTGGAAGCATGTATATATACTCCAAAATTATCCATGGATATCACAAACTACATGCATGAAGAATTGAAAAACAGTCAATCTAAGAGTGAGAATGTTTGGCAAAATGTTATGCACCTGCATGTGTATGTGGATTTTGATACTGTATACAGGGTTACAGTGAAATATCAGTATCTCAAAGTTGAGAGGTTGTCTTCCAATGTCGAATCAATAATTTCCCTTTTTTTCGTACGAGGTATACCGGTATACGTTCATGCATAACACTATCCTGTATTACCAAACATGTAGTCTTTACAGTTAAGACTTAAGCATATTCGCAATGAATATTTTGAAAAACAATCTTGTTGTTTTCTTTATCGTATATAATTGAAAACTATTTTAATGTACATGCCTTACTGCATATACAGCGACTTTACATTATCCAGACCATGCTTACATGATTAAACGGGATGTATCATTAGCGTTATAGTTGAAGAACTTTCTCCGTAAGAAAAGAAAAACACGAAATTCTTAAAAAAATTATTTGATGGAATTTATTGAAAGTGTTATTTATTATAAAATATTAATAATAATTAGTATTCAAACTGTGTACATGAATATAATTAATATCTTACATGTATTCCATTACGAAGTACTACTAAGGAACATATAGTTTACAAAACTAACAATGAAAAGGGCAAATCGCTATCCTGGTTATCTATTTATACACAGATAATCAAGAATGTAATCAATCACTGTGCATTACTCAGAGCAACTTAATTCATAATTGTTTAATTTAAGTTTACTGTGAAAAATCATTGTGTTTTATAAATTTACAATTTTAATAATACAGATCATATTATTAAATGCAAAATCGGTACTGGTAATACTGTCTGTATTTCATTTCCGAGTTGCTGCAAAGTGGTTTGTTTTAACAGTTGTAGACAACACCAAATACCCAAGCTGTCATACCAATTACCCTGTTACAGATACCCCACATATGCTTGGGATTATTTTAGATTCCCCAGATTTGGCGGTGTTAATCAATAGCCACTGGCTAGAATGTGTGAAGTCACGATGCCAGGTGTGTTCAGCAGTCCAAAAAATTCAACGCACTTCAAGATAAGCCAGGTAAAATAGGGCTTTGGACTTTGAATATACTTCGACATTAGCGGGGTATTCGAGATTATTGTGTTCGAGATATCAGGTTTTTTTAAAAATCATATATATAGAGAATACGGCCGGGACCTGCGATCAACTTCGACATAAGCAGGGTATTCGAGATATCCCATGTTTGAAATACTGATATTTACCTGTATTTTCATCCTACTTTATTTTTGCCCTTTCGGTCTTGCACACAACTTTGACCCATCTTAAATTTCCCCCATTCATACTTTTGTTTAGAAAATTATACTGTATTCTTTGAATTTGCCCTGTTTTAAATTCCCAAAACCGAGGTAAAAGCGAAAGGGGCGAAAATTTTCCCGCATACAGTAGATTTTTTGTCTAGCTTTATATTCCACCTTCCATTGTTTTCATTTACCTTATCAGGATGGACAGACAGCACAGCCTTTCGATACACCTTCTTCACCTGGTCTGCTGTCACTAAGTCATGCATGCCCACTTGTTGCCACCTTTTTTCACCGTCCCATAAAACTTTGTCTAATGAACACAGCAAAGCTCTCACATTACGCTCTTTCCCTTCTATCCAGTCCAAAACCTGTCATTAACAAATTCACTTATAATAAATTTGAAAAAAACTGATCCTACAAAACATAACAATTATTGGTTTGTCATTGGTATGTCATTTGAAAATGTAGTCCTCAATAAGCAGCATTAAAATTTAAAAGCTTAGACTTTCAAGAACTTTTTATACATGCACACAAAGTGTAAATGTAATTATAACACCCATCGACATTGATTAGTAAGCCTGTTCCTTGTCACATTCTACTGTCATTTACACAGTTATGAATCTACGACAATAGCTGTTATTTACTCAATATATCAATACAATCGTAATGTTAAAAAAATTGTCATATGAAGTAACCACATTCAAAATCAAGATATAACACTCAACTAAGATTTTTTAACATTATGCATTAGCAGACACTATTCATGTTGCATGTACATGTATTTAGGAATCAGATCCTACTTTTAGTTTGTCTGGGTCCATTTCTTCGGCTCTTTGTTTCTTTTTCATGGCTCCCAGTGTTTTGGGTGTACTGTTCTGTTTAGAGCTGGTAAACTGGTGGTTACCAAGGAGGTCTTCAAACGCACTCTCACTGACCGGAGGCTTTGGACCTAGAATTCAATGTGGAAATATAGAGACTATTACAGAAGAATTTGCATTGTTTTGAAAATAATTTTTGTATGATTTTTCATTTACTATGAATTTGCATGTGAAACAATCAATGTCTTTAATTTGATTGATCTGTTATATATATTTAAGCCCATATTTAAGCAACATGGCATAACCTTAGAAGACAAAACAATGTTGCATCTAGCTAGGATCCATTTTTTATTGCTAACAAGACCATAGAAAAATGAAAGAAAAAGTGAGCTAGCTCACATACCCCACGCTCCCCAAAAACTTGACGGTGAAACACATAATGAAAGGCACAGCTAGTGCACTTTAAATACATAGTATAGATCAAAAAGGGCAATAATTGCAAAAAAATCTTCACATCAAAATGTCTTGCATATGAGGACATTTAAATGTGGAATGAAGTTTCTAGATAAATAATGGAATCAAAATTTCTTGGCATTATACAAATCCAAACATTAATTTGAAGTGGTACGGGGAGGGGGGGGGGGGGGGGGGGTGAGAAATTTTCTTGAATAATAGGCAAAACTCTTTGGGATAAAATAATATGTCCTAAATATCTGCATAGGTTGACGAAACTATGTACAACAGTTCAAGAGGAGTGGTGCAGACAAACTGTTCATCTGTATATTCAAAATATGGCCAAAAAGTCTAAGTTGGAAAGTGTGAAAATTCAAGGAAAAATAAAGGAATTGGAATTTCCTGGTAATATGCACATCTACATATTGTGTTCTAAATATCTGCAAAGTTTAACGAAATTCTGTGCAGTGGTTTATGAGGAGTTGCGCTGACAAACTGTTCATCTCTATATAAAAGGTATGGCCAAAAACCTAACTTTTTAGTGCGGGAAGTCCTGGAAAAAATAATGGAATCAGAATTTCCTGGTAATATGCACATCTACATATTGTGTCCTAAATATCTGCAAAGTTTGACGAAATTCTGTGCAGCAGTTTATGAGGAGTTGCGCTGACAAACTGTTCATCTCTATATTCAAGGTATGGCCAAAAACCTAAGTATTTAGTGCGGAAAGTCCCGGAAAAAATAATGGAATCGGAATTTCCTGCGAATATGCACATCTACATATTGTGTCCTAAATACCTGCAAAGTTTGACGAAATTCTGTGCAGCGGTTTATGAAGAGTTGCGCTGACAAACTGTTCATCTCTATATAAAAGGTATGGCCAAATGCCTAAGTTAAAAAGTGCGGAAATTCCTGGAAAAAATAATGGAATCGGAATTTCCTTGTAATATGCACATCTACATATTGTGTCCTAAATACCTGCAAAGTTTGACGAAATTCTGTGCAGCGGTTTATGAGGAGTTGCGCTGACAAACTCTTCATCTCTATATTCAAGGTATGGCCAAATGCCTAAGTTAAAAAGTGCGAAAATTCCCGGAAAAAAAAATGGAATCGGAATTTCCTGATAATATGCACATCTACACATTGTGTCCTAAATATCTGCAAAGTTTGACGAAATTCTGTGCAGCGGTTTATGAGGAGTTGCGCTGACAAACTCTTCATCTCTATATTCAAGGTATGGCCAAATGCCTAAGTTAAAAAGTGCGGAAAATCCCGGAAAAAATAATGGAATCGGAATTTCCTTGTAATATGCACATCTACATATTGTGTCCTAAATACCTGCAAAGTTTGACGAAATTCTGTGCAGCGGTTTATGAGGAGTTGCGCTGACAAACTGTTCATCTCTATATTCAAGGTATGGCTAAATGCCTAAGTTAAAAAGTGCGTAAATTCCCGGAAAAAATAATGGAATCGGAATTTCCTGGTAATATGCACATCTACACATTGTGTCCTAAATACCTGCAAAGTTTGACGAAATTCTGTGCTGCGGTTTATGAGGAGTTGCGCTGACAAAAAAAGAGGACTGACTGACTGACTGACTGACGGACTGACTGACTGACTGACGGACGGGTCAAAAACATTATACCTCCCGCAACTAGTTGCGTGGGGTATAATTATTCACCAAATGGTTTTCTGGCACCCCTTTCATCTCTTCCCCCCGTGACAAATCCTCCCACATTGTAGTTAGGTTTACTGAAAGTCTGTTGTTGTTTTGGAGGATTCTGAGGTCTGGTAACTTTAGGTGACCCTTGTGTGTTTGCCCCAGGGGTTGCCGATGGTTTAGGTGGTGGCTGTTGGGAAGGTTTGTTCAAGTTTGGAAAACTACCACTGAAATTACTCTTACCACCTGCACCTAGGTTACCTGGAAATGAAATACATGTACATGTATCAAAGCTACCACTGAAATTACTCTCAACACCAGTATTTCAGTTTCATGAAAATGAAATATCAGTAGCAAAACAATTAAGACTGATAAAAATACACATAAATTTAATTTTTGGGAAAAAATCATTAAATCAAATTACCGAATTCAGCAAAAGGGTCATATGCTGAATTTGTAGATTGACCTTTGACATTCTGACCTATCGTGAGAGGGGAATTGTTTCCTGAGCGACTCTGACCAAACATTGGCTGTTTTTGGCCGGTGGTAAATGTCCCACTACTATTCCTGGGAATGTTTGCATTGCCCATTCCTGAAAACTGTTGGAAATTAGAAGCAGAGCTACTTTGATGCATGCTTGAGTTGGAGGGGTTTCTAGGAATGTTAAGTGTGGGAATAGAATCTTTTACATTGTGGATATCCCAGGAACCTAAGAGATTAACATCATCTTTAGAACCACTGGAAGTGTCATCTAAAAAGTCAAACATGTCGTCTTTCTTTGTACTGGCTGTTGGCAGTTGTTCTGTACTTGATGAAAATGAATCTAGTAAGTTATCAACGTTCGTTACACTTCCACTAGGTTTTAAGTTTTCTGAACTATTGTCTTGGAATGCATCAAACAAGAAACCATTTTCATTTGTAGAACTAGAGTCTTTGTTTGGCTGAACATCATTGTTTAAATTAAGGGAACTAAAGTCTGCAAAGGGATCAAATGTTTGTTGTTGATCTAGAGGTTCTGTGTTGCTTTTTTCTCCTAAATCGCTTGAATTAATCTCTTTCTCAGTATTCCTTATATCACTTTTGTCCTCACTGAAATCTAACAAAGTTTCGGCATTGACAGGTTTGCTCCTTTGTTCCGATAGTGCTGCAAATGCGTCATCGTCATCACTCCCGGACAATAACCCCTCCCCCTCCTCTCGGGCCACAAATCCAGTCGGTTTCTCCTTCTCTGGGTTCTCTTCCTGGTGTGAATTCTGCCATGACAGGGAGGATAGAAAACTGGCCGCACTGGAAGCCACATTTGCTTTTGATTTCTCTTCATTGTATTTTGTAATCCTTTCTTTTCTTTGGTCCTGATTCTCTGTTGAGGGCTGCTTGTTAGGAACATGTTCTGGACTGGTCTGTCCACTAGAACCCTGACTAGAGGATCTAGACAACTGAGACTTGGCTCTTTTTGTCACTCCTGTAAAATCAAATAAGAATCTTAAGAGAAGACAAGTATTGTGAATAAGACACTCATTTATAAAAAACAAGTGCAGTAAAACTTAGGCAACATTCAGGATTAGACAACAGTCATATCTTAATAGAGTTGGGTATTGCGAGTGAAAACCATATTGCGATATATTGCAATATTTATGTTGAATATTGCAATATATTGCGATATATTGTAGAGTAATTATCATTGATAAATTTGTGCAGAAAGTTTAAAATGCTGTCAATTTCAAAGACTATTTGAATTTATCTGTAAATTTTAAAGGGGGCGGGGTATAAGACATTAATCGCACACAAAATTATAATAACTTTTAATTAGGGATGTCAAAATTGTCAATTATTGATATTCGAATATTCGATAGTAGTATTCGAATATATTCGAATATTCGATAAAATAAATACATCTTACATTATAATAATGTGTGTATCTTCACTCTTTTGTCAAGCAATATATAAGTTTTATGTAATTATTTTGGAATAAAATTTCATGTAGAGTTTTGTAAATGCAATTTAAATATTTTCTTAAAATATTTTACAGAATATAAGAAGAAGTGATATCCAAAATGTAATTAAAAAAAAGAAGTCCCCCGAAAGTTCAAAAGATTCTTTTAATAAGTTCAAGATTAATTAATCATCTTATCAAAGCGTACACTGATAACCCTACAGACTTATACCACACAGAACAATTATCTAATGGAGAAACATTAAAACTAATTATTTTTAGCTAATTAATTTCCTGATAATGATTTTAAATGATGTATACATAAACAAAAATGCGTCCTTTCAACAATACAAACTAATTCTATGTACTGGACACTGTTAAACCTCTAAATAAATTATCAAATGAATAATTTATATTATTTTAATAAACACACTCTTCACCTTTAAGGTAATCCAAGAGGAGTGTCTTTTAATTTTGTTTTAAATAAAATCTTATTATTGGTCAACGATGAGAATTTGATTCAATTTCTGATAAAATTTCAGTTTTTGCCAGATTTTTTCCCTTTTTGATGCGTGTATACTTAAAATCTGAATATTCGAATCATGAATTTATATTCGAATATCAACTCATCGAATGAGTATTCGAATATTCGAATATTCGTTGACATCCCTACTTTTAATCGAAAACCAGGTAAAAAATTAAAACAAAATGTATTCATTTGATGTATTTTCAAATTGAAAAAAAAGTTTATGCATAGTATATTCTTTATACGTTTTTTTTTTTTGGGGGGGGGGGGGGGGGTGTTTTATTGAAATAGCATAAAATGTTACTAATGATTAAAACAATACATACTTAGTATATAGAAATTTTATGTGGTCACAGAATAAAATTAAAGCCAGAAAGAAATTGTGACCTATTTTTGGGCGTTTGGTGTTTTAGTCTGACCCGACCTAATTTCACATTATGACATACGATCAGGAACGGCATTGGCCTATTTCTATTGTTTTAATATACATGCTACTGGTATAGCATGAAGGTGTTTAAAATGGCATGAAACTTGTTAAAGAATAATAAAAAACACTATTAAGTGAAAACATGGATGGCCATTTACTTGTAATATGTATCTTGAACTTAACATTCATCGTCGATCGTGTAGATTCCATGAGATTTTGAGAACCACAGTACACATGGTAAACACCCTGTAGAAATGTTTTATGTATTTTCCTTTCTAATAATTTTATTTAAAAGTCTTTTTATTAATTATTTATTTTATTTTAAAGTAAGAAATTTAAAATTGACAGTGAATGAAAAGCTTCCCCCTCTCTCTCTCTTTTCTCTCTATCTGCCTCTGAAAGCTGACGAAGTATTTTTTTTAATAGATTGAAAAGGCCTGGGGAAGTTACAAGTATTATTTCAGCAGTTTCTACAATACAGGAGTTTTTTTATATATTTTATAAATATCGTGAAATACCGGTATCTGACTTTCATATCGCGATATATTATCGTGATGGATAATACCGCAATATACCGATATACCGGTAATATTGCACAGCCCTATATCTTAATGATTTAATCTTGGTCCCATTGGGTTCAAAATATTGAGGTTTGACTGTTTACTACTTACTATTAAACATGACAAATGCAAAATGCATACATGAAATTGATGAAAAAGAATGCATAAGAGGACCATACTTTTTTACACAGTAGCATTTTATTCCTTGCTTTTGCAAATAACGACAGGTAAAAGAATTTCAGTCCCTGGTCAAAACCTCACCATAATCTCTAAATGTTTCCTGCATTTCCTCTTTGTTGGAGAACAGAATTTTGGGAGATAACTTGGAGCCATCCAGGGATTTCCAGGGCTGAACTTTAGTTGTAGGCCTCTCATTCTTAGATACAGCTAAATCCAGCATCACACAAAAGTGTTCTGGATATTTCTCAGCAGTATCTAACTGGTCTAAATCAAATCTGAAAAACAGAGGGGAATTAAAATTAAGTATTACATGTATAAATTCATGTGATTAGCAAAGTTTCTAATTTGTACATATATAGTTATTTAAAAATCCAAACTGTAATGCCTGATCATCATTTCTATAGAGATAATGAATTCAACTGCTTGACAATCATTTCCCTTTTCCAAGAGCAATAGCTACTTTACAAAGTTCTTAGTGTACTGAATGCCTGTCAATCTTATTGCACAAAAACTTCACATACGAGGGCCGTTCAAAAATTACGCGGACTCTGCTATTATTTACTCTTACAGACGTCATATAGTTGTGAACTTTCACAGAGATATGTATCTTAAAGATTCCAATAAATTTTGGGCAAAATTTTTGTATTTTAAAATATTTTCCCAAAAATTATCACTATGTAAACATCGCTGATAGAGAGGTATGGAGCACGACAAAAAATTTGATACAAAAGAATGCGGAATCCAAAATTTAACTCATAAATTTTCTATAATTCCCAATATTTTTCGACATTTTTCTCAAATGTATCTTTATACTGTTCTATTACTATGTATTTAGATTTCTGGCGTAATATTTGCAGTATTAAAAGAAATATGGTGATTTTTCACTGATGCGATTCCCGTGAAAACGTTTGTGAAAATGACGTCTCCTGAATTGACGGAGCACCACACTTTGTTAAATTATGTGTAATGTTCTAGATATCACCAACATAGATCCAAAATATGCATAATAAAACATGAAGTAAACTAGGGAATCCGTGTCATTTGTCTGAAAACAGCAAATTGGGATTTTAGAACCGTTAGACCTCTGTAAAAAGGCTATACGGGAGGACGGGAAGAAGATTATTAACGAAAATTTTATCCGGACTGAAAAGAACGTGATTGAGAGTCACCAATGTCACACTGTATCTCATAAATACCTGCAGTTTTTGGTTTTAAAACAAATAAAAAGAATATCCTTACTTTTTAAATAGATTTTAAGCTTGACAAAAAATGATGTATGGATCTTGAGTAGATAAGGTAACTCTAAATGTACAGGAACTCTTGGGAAAATGTTGAGAAAATTAGAGCTCAATCACGTATCTTTTTATAATGCCTGTGACGTCGAAGATTTTGCTGCTCCATAACTTAATGATATATCCGGATAAATCACCCAAAATTGATAACAATTTACAACATTTTGATATGAAATTTTGAAGACCATATAAGTAAATATTCTTTTATGTTATGTGTGACATTTTACCCGATCATGTCATCAAATATTTTTTCTGTGCAACAATTTCACATAATTTTTGAACAGCCCTCTTACAAAGTCATGCCACTTGCAATGTCATTTCAGATCTTTTGGTATTTTAATTTTGCCTTTAATCATGTTATTTCAATACAAATTGTTTTTTTTATTATTATTCTTTTTTTTATTGTATCAGATACTTTAATTGGCCTTTTATTTCCATAGAGTCTGAAACACAAAACCCAGGAAGTATCAGGGTTTTTTTTTTTACTATATGATTTCAGCATCTACTCACTGTGTAAACTTCATTGATGTTGTCCCTGGTCTAACCATTCCAGTGTTAAATTGAACTTGAAACATCTTCATAGATGTTATCTGTGTAAAAAAAAACGTAAAATTTATATTAATTCTACTGTATGACCTACTGAAAAAGCAGTATCAAAGAAACTGTAATGACAACAGAAATATATTTATTATTTTATAATCTGTAGCCATATCAGCTTCCAACATTTACATTAGGGTAAGGAGTGAGCAAATAATAAGGATTTGAGAATTAAAACTCCGGTCAACATACATTTATAATAATAACACATGTGTTACAACAAATACAGGCTTTGAAAAAGTATAAAATTCTTAAAACTATTACTATACATACTCATGTTCTACATATGTATATCAACAGATCAAAATATACAAAATTAATGGTTTTGTGGTGTTAAAGTACGATGTAAAGAACCACAACTAGATTATTCCTGACCTTTCCTTGAACTTTGCCCCCAAAAGTAGACCTGGCGTGGTACACAACAACAGTAACATCTCCTAAAGCTGTTGTGTTAACAGGGAGGATGGCTGATCCATCTTCTGTCTGATAACCTCTGGTGGAATAAAATAATCCACAATCATTAAATGTAAAGAATAAATAATATTTGAGCCCAGAAATTCTTGGAAACAAATTTAAATGCTGATTTCAATCCACTAATTTCAATCATGAAACCAAACTAAAGGTAACTTCTTTTGTCTGTATATATATCTTGTTGCCTAGAATTACAATTTTTCAACTCTAGTTGTGAAACTCTAGATGTTGGATCATTAAAAGTAAAATCCCGTCAAAAGTAAGACATTTTGAAAATTAAAAACAATATTTTTTAGACAGCTTTCTTACTTCATTTTTTCATATTCCTGAGAAGTCGTGAGGATCCTTTCTTCATCAACATATACTTCAACAAATGGCCTGCATCCATTCCTAAAAATTAACAGCAGAAAGGATAAGATTATACAGCATTGTCCCCAAATGCAACACTCATATACTGGTAAATAATACATAACCATGCTTCAGACCTACAGTAGGAATGCCACCTCCCAAATCCCTTTCACTTTCCCAGATAAAATATTTTCGATTAAAAATGCCTCAATACTTTTAGACATTTTATTTAAACAATAAAATGCTTTCTTTGTTTGTTATTACTGGAATTAACAGAAGCAGCTGTTGCAGAAAAAATACATAACCCGCGTAAGCGGGTTATGTAAATTTTTTCTGCAATAGCTTACGCGGGTTATGTTTTTTTTCTGCAACAGCTGCTTCCGTTAATTCCAGTAATAACAAACAAAGAAAGACATTTTATTGTTTATATTTATATCTGTTTAAACAATCATTTAAAGAAGGATTAAAAAGTTTATTATTGTATTAATGATGCAAACGTCTTTATATGTTTCATTGACGGAACAGCCACTGAACAAGAAATCTGTACAGGCGACATGCCTAATGTAGTTCATGCAGGGATTAACGCAATGGGTTTTCTTAAGAAATAAAGGAGAAAATATTCAGTGGATGTAAATATTACCTCATTTTGTTAAAAAGTGGTACAGGTGATAATGTCATAGACTTCAGTAATACAGCACAGTTGTGTGGAACATACGGAGTATCAGCAACCATGTCAGATATATATCCAATGTATCTACAAAACAAGTCCAGATGTCATAATTATAAATAAATAGTTGACTAAAACTGATAAAAAATCTTGGAAGAATTCATACTGTAAATGTAATAATGCTATAAAACAACCTTTTCTGTGAAGGAGTGACCCCTGGTGGACCTCGTTTCATGGAGAACATGTGAATACTTTGTTCTGGTGACTCAAACAGGTGGACAAATGACAGGAATGCTCCCACTACAGTGGCAGACGAGGCCTTGCCATCCTGAAAAACAATGTAATAAAATCTTATTTAAACATGTAACGGAATTCTCACAAAAAAAAAAGTTCCTCTGAACGTAAAATAAAACTCTATTTAAACATCCTTCTGGTATGGTTTAATTTGCTTATTGGTACATATTGCACATCCAAGCAATTATTTTGATGACATTTGGTACTCAAAAATAAATTATAGTTTAGGCCAGACTTAAAAAAATCTTTGTTTGCAGTTGCCGACTTATAATTTTTAGACTGGGTAGGTACGTAGGCATTCTTTTTTTTTTTTGAAAAAAAAAAAAAAATCAGAATTTTGTTAGATAACAAACAACAGAGCTTTTCCATGATTTCATTGGCCCACTAAACATGAGTGAGCTCTACTCTTGTTATATATAAACCACTGATTGATGAAAACAAAAGTCAAAAATTGAAAATGAAACAGTTTCAATATTCTGAAAATTGAAAAAAATCAAATTACAAAATGGTTAAAAAAAGTTTGGGTCGGTGCATTTTCAGTGGGTTGGTAGGCAACTGCAAACAAACTATTTTTTATTTTAGGCCTTATTTCAAGTGCCATTCAATTTTATGTGCTTTCTACATAAATGTTTCATGATTTATATGAAGTTACTTTTAAAAAAAAATTTGCAGCATTAAATTATTTCGTGACAAGAAAGATAAGACAAATTACAATGCAGTGGATGACACAGATGTTTTTGGGATTCTGTCGCAGCCAAAGAAGCATGTTCTTACAGACTTCAAACAGACTGGTCAATAAAGGAGCTTTCTTAGGAGGCCAGCCACACTCAGACACCTAAAATTAAAAAAAAACATCTTTAACATTTATATAAGACATGAACTACAGCCTTAAAGTATACAACTTAAAAGGAAATTATAGTTTAGCAAGTTTTTTTGCAACCCATAAAGTTTACAATTTTTTAATGGTGCACTGGGTGGACACCACTCTGTAAGTTGATGCTTGCATCAATAAATAGAATTAAATTCATTTACAGTTATAAATAATTTACATCTGCAAATGTGCTTAGTACTATTCTCAGTTAATCTTGGTCTTTCAGTAGGGCGTGACTTTCTCGATACTATGTATTTATTTTAACGTCTCTCAAATGGCTAATAGATTCTCATTGGTTAAGAAATTAATAACATCAGCAACTTTAAAAGTGTTGTTGATAACGATGAGTTGACTTATGCCCCACCTCTCTGCCGCAAGAAACACTATCATGACATTCGCTGGAATGTATATCTCAACAGTCAATGATAGGCTATGTAAATTTCAGAGGCTAATTATATAAAGTTGAGAATACCATGCCTTACTGAAAGTCCAAGGTTAACAGAGAATTGTACTCTTTTTAAAACTGACTTTATTCACTCTGTGGAATAGTATGTTTATATTCAGTTTATTCTTTGTGAAGATCTAACTCTACCAATTTCACTGGCTAACTTTCCCCCCACCAGTGAATTTTTATCCATTTAACAACCATAAAAAAGATCTCAGGATGTCAGATCAATGTAAATAATTTTCTCACTCTATTCTCAAACTTGATGGCTCTGTACGTCCTTTGTGACAGATTGTACACAGCGTAACAGTCCTTGTGTCTGCTCTCTAAATAACTGCGGACCTCGTCAATGTTGTTCTTAAAGGCCGCCTCTACTCCCTCGGCAGGAAATGACATCACTGAAAAAAAGCATTGTTAAGAACTTGATCTTCTGAGTATAAAAATTGTTGAAGGACAATGTATAATGTAATTCTATTCTGATGATAAGAAACTGTTGCTTAAATTATGTAAATGATAGTAGTTACAAACTGCCCATTACCCCATCAATTTTGTTCTTTGATTTAAACATGTTAAAATCATCCTATCAATTGGTATAAGTATCATATGTCTACAGGTTGAATATATCAATTATAAAGTAAGGTGTTATCATACTAATCATAGAATACTGCACTTATTTCAGCCATTTCAATAATCTCATGCATACCTGCAATTCTTGATGTAATGTAGTTTATGTCTAAATCTGTCTTTCCCATTGTTCTAAAAATAATTTTTAAAACATATATTACAAGAAATTCAATATTTACATTTCAAAATTTGTTACTGACACATACATGTGACAGAACTGAACAATCACAACTGGAGATTTAAAATTTTTCAGCTGGAGTTTGGGTCTCAAAGCTGGAGATTTTTTATTGACATTTTTTCAAATCGCAAAAGACCATCCAACCCCCTAGAAAATGCCGTCTCCCTCTTTATTTACTTTTCATAAAGTCTAGCTTTAAAATAAAATGTTAAATTTTTATTCAAATGATCAGAAGTGAAATTGATCAAAATAAAATCAATTCATTGTAATTAATAAAGAATTAACATAATCATTAAAACATTGAATAATATTTTATTTTTACTTTTGATTTGGTATTGATCAATACATCAACCAGTGTTAAAGTGAAGTTAAACATAGGTCTTATGTAACAGATTTTATGTCAGTAATTTGTATTTAAATAGAATATGAAAAGATAAAATTTAACTTCTCTGAAAAATACAACAAAGAAGAGTGAGGTACATTCTTTCAGCAGTATTAGTGAAGTAAAACATATGTCTTATGTAATATATTTTATGTCAGTATTTTTTTTAAATAAAATATAAAGAGATAAAATTAACTTCTCTAAAAATACAACAAAGTAGAGTCAGATATATTTTTTAGCAACACCCTGTAGTTTGATCTATTTTTAACTAAAGTGTGACCCGTATTATAACCATGATAACTGTATCTTTTAATGACCATCGCAGCATTAGAAAATGGCAATTGGGTATTTTAGCAACTAATTACAATGTTCTGCATTCAGCAATTCAGCAATAAAACACCGATGGTCATTTATCAAGTTGATATATCACTAATTTTTACAACCGAATTATACGACCTCATGTTGATTACTACGAAGCCTACTGCTGTGAAAATTTATTGCACTGCCGTTGTTAAACTTATCTCAATGTATTGTCATTCTAAGCAATTATAAGAAACATGATAAAAGTTAATGCAAAATTTATCTAATTTGAAGAATTATTTTAAACACGGAAGATTTAAAAATTAATCGGGATGGGCGGAAGGGGGGTTAAAAATCGGGAGATTTTGCCTCCTGCCAGAAGAATCACATGTATGCTGACAGTAACACAGGACAGAATAATACGGTAACTTGTAAAGACTTACGCTGAAACAGTTTCTATAACTTTTGCTGATGCGTCTTTAATGTTTTTCATCAAATTTCCAGCTCCCCCTCTCAGAGAGTTGAAGATTGAGGAAGCATTAGCATTCTGTGTGGGGGGAGGGGGATAGTTCTCAGCTCTCTCTCCCTCGTCATAAAAAACAGAATTAGGTCGCCGGTGTGTTTCTGCACTGTCTATCACTGAAAAAAAGATGGCTAAATGACATCCTTTACATGTTACAATGACAAAATAATAAACTGGTCATAGCTTATTTAACCCCAATCTAAAGAAAAGAATGGAGTTTAAAACACTGCATATACAATATTTGATGATATTAACAAACGTAAAATACATGAATATTCCCTCAAATACCCCCTCCCCCATCTTATCTAAACCATTCCTTCTTTGGTGATGTTTATGCATAAATGTAGATGAGGATTCTGGGATTGGGATTGTTTGTTTGCATTACCTATATTTGCTGGAATATTCTCTGCTATATGTAGAGGTCCTTTTAGGTTGACATTTTTAGCTATTGCTATTTCCTGAAGTCTATCCACTAAATCATGAACAGTTGGTCGGTCATTAGGATCCACTTGTAACATACTCTCTGGAGGAAAATAAATACAATAAATTTTGTTTTTAAAAACATGCTATGATCTAATATAATTTCATATCATGTGTGAAACATGTTGATCTGTTTTTCATTGAACTGTCTGAGATTTTTTTCTGACTTTCATGTCTGATGCAAATACTTAATGAAATGAAGTCTAAAAATATTTTCCTAGTTGAAAAAATATTAATATATGGAGGAAAAAAACTAGATGGATAAATTTTGGTGTCAAGGGTATAAAAAGTTGTCTGGATTGTATAAAGACATTTTTAGACTGAACGTGATAATTTCACTCACTAATGAGATCATGAAGTACTGTATACTGGGTGTCTGTACTGGGAATGCTGTAGTTGGCATTGATGATTCTCAGTTTGGCTGAATCCTCAAAAGGGTGATTACCAAAACAAAGCATGTATAGTAAACACCCTAAAGCCTGAAAGGATTTAAAAAGAATGAAATTAAATCAGAAACATATATTTTTACTGTTGTTATGGGTCATTTACCTGAGTGAAGAAGCATGTATGATTTCTCCTTGCCTCAGGTTGTACACATACTTATCTATTTGTGGTCATTCAGGCATTTCAAATTGGCCGGTCAAATACTGTTTACCAAAAATTGATTTGTGTCATTGATATCAAAGTTTTCACATCTACCCAGATGTCTCTTTGATTATATTTATATCACTGTCATGCTATTATGGAGATGAAATAGCAGATTATATAATTAATATACACATTAAATGCATCCTTAGTGTTCAAAAGAAAACTTCAACTAGTGTAACTCAGAAATGAAACTGAGATTATTACATGCATTTAATTATCAATATAATGCCACCAAAACTGCATATATAATATCCATCCTAGCACTTTAGTCACTTATAAAAATTATCAATTTTAAATGTAAATAAATTTCAAATTAATATCTTATTAACTTATACCACAGAAAGTACCACATCTCAATTTTCTGATAAGGAATATTCTTTCAGGGCTCTCTGTACTTACCCAAACATCACTAGCTTCACAAATAGGAAAGTTTTGATACAGGTCTAACATCTCAGGAGCACGATACATAGGTGTGGTGTTTTTGGCAATCTGAAAAAAAATAACAAAGTAGAAGTGAAGAATTCTTCCAGTATTCATGTTTTATCTCCACACTGACCAATATTCAAAAGAAGAGTTAACAATTATCAATGATAATCTACCTCATCTTCCACCAGACTCCGCTGAATAGCTGACCAGGAACCATCAGGGAAATGTGCTGTGGTTGTGGCACTGCCAAAGTCACACAGCTTGATCATGTGTTTAGAACTTATCAACAGATTCTCAGCCTACAATCAGTCAAAAATTATGAGTAATTGTCAACTGTAATAAAAATTTGAAGCCTTCCACAATTTTTTTATTGTAAAATTTTTGCATGTTATCTCACCTTTGAAATTAATATTGTTTCATTTACAAAGAAAAAAAATTGATTCCTCTGGGAATGGTTAGAGGCAAGTCACTAGAAATGGCAAAGTATTTTGAATAATAAAGTTTCCCTCCATAGCATGATACCCCATCATAATCCGGGCATATAAAAAGTATAAAGAACTCAGAAAGTTACAAAACATAACTCAAACCTACAGACTACCTTGAGTAAAACAATGAATCTACTTACTTTTAAATCTCGGTGAATAATTGGGGGATTTTGTCTATGCATGTGCTGCACTGCACGACATGTTTGGTAAAAAATTTGAATGACATCATTGCAGGGTAATGGTGAGCCAGCACTGTTCAGCACATCAACCAGCTGACCTGGAATAAAAATCTAAGTGGTTGACTTCATGATGTCAATAGGCAACAGTATATCAAAACATTTTTTTTCCACCATGGGATGGTTTTTCATGCTTTAAAGTTCAAGATCTGGTTACTAATGAAATTTTTTATGATTTCTTCCATTTTAAATATATGTCTGAGTAAAAAAGACAAAAGTAACAGGAAATACATCCACCTGTACTAATGAGATACAATCACTTTTTCCTTTTACCTATGAGATACACCCACATGTATGAGATACACTTATCTGCACCTATGAGATACACCCACATGTATGAGATACACTTATCTGCACCTATGAGATACACCCACATGTATGAGATACACTTATCTGCACCTATGAGATATACCCACATATATGAGATACACTTATCTTCACCTATGAGATACAACCATCTTTACTTTTTAGATAAAGTACACCCAACAATACCAATGCAGTACATCAACTTGTACCAATGAGATACACTCACCTGTTTTATAATAGAACCCTCCACCTGGAAGATTTATGGACTTGTACCTATGCTCATCTACCTGTTTCTATGAGATACACTCACTTGTACATATGAGATACATTCACCTGTGCCTATGAGATACACCTAACTGATTCTATGAAGTAAACAACCTTTACATGTCTATCAGACACATCCGTAGCTATGATTATGAGACCCACCTGTACAGAGCTCTGTAAGCAGTAGATACTCGGCCTGTCCTTTGTCGGAGTCTGAGGCAGCAGCTATAAACTGTACAATGTTGGGGTGACCTGTCAGCTTTTTCTGTTAGCGAGGTTAAGGCAAAGACATGCAGATGTAAACATGGTTAATTTTAAAAAAAGATGTGCAATAGATATTGCTGACTCAAACAATCATCATTTATTCATTTGGACAAAATATGAAAAATATCTGAAATAAATCCATTATTGCAATATATACATTGTGTGATGGAAAAAAACAACAACAAAAAAATAAAGTCTCATATGTCAAATTGTGATATTTCAAACACAGCAGTCATGAAAAGGATACAAGATATTTGATTTCATCTATAACCATTTGGTTCTTTTCCTTGTCATGGGCAAGTAACCTCTGCAGAGAAAAAGCAGTTTCATTGAATAACATACCAACTATTACTCATGTGTGACCTTCTTCAAATCACCATAAATAAAATATTTGTGAATTGATAGTAATTGATAGATTTCATGCAAACTGTCAAATTGCGAGTCTCAGAACAATTTGTCACAAATAATTATTTGTTTACGTGGTACTATGAACATGATGAATATCTTGAGAAATCTACATAATTTATTACTTCCTTTTCTTTAAAAATGACAGCATGCAATTATTATTTTTTTTATTATCTATTTTCTATTCTATTCTATAAATTTGGGGAATAAAGTATCTTTAATGCTGATATCACAATTGCTGTATTATAATCAGAATGTCCTTACCTTAAGGGCATAATCTTTTCCTGTGGCGACATCTTGTGCAACATACACAAAAGCATAGCCACCTGAAAGTAGAAGGCATATGGTCAAACATGTCAAATGTAATTTTATTTGTACATTAGTTGGAAAAAGCAAATTACTTTCTTCTGTAGACCATGCACAAAAATACAGAACATGTTGATCATGCCGCTGTCTTTCTAGTTTCAGCAGGTTCTTTAGTTCTGTGGATCGATGGTTCAGTAAAACATTATTTTTTCTTAGCATTAATATAGGCAATGAGAGAAAAAGTGTTAAACCATAATTGGTCAAAGATACATTTACAATTGGGAGGTGGGGGCATGCCCCGTATAATTTTGCTTATTTATATATATAGAATTAGGGCTGGGCAATAATATCGATATTTCAATATATTGCAATACAGTGACAAAAAATATCGTATCGCAATACGATTTTGTAATATCGATATATTGGCAATATATATATATATATATATTGTTATTAAGCCAAACATAAGACAGAAGTTGTTTTTGGCATAACTTAAAGGAAATCAAAAGATTTTTTTTTCGTGTTGGTAACTTATCATAGTTATGTACATTCTGCATGTAAATTAAAATAAATATAGTAAGAAAATGCCATTTTTATTACATTGAAAATATTGCAATACGTATCGCAATACAGTTTAAAATATCGCAATATATCGCAATACGAAATCTCGGGCCAATACCCAGCCCTATATAGAATACTTTGGAAAAAATAGCTTCTATATGATAATACATGTTGTATATGCTTGTGCCTCCTCAATAAAAATGTCTGATGTCCTTTTTTTATGCTTGTCAATATATATAGAATTTTCGGTAGTTGATTGTGCCCATCCAAATGAAAATATATGGCTGATTTTCATGGAAAACGATAGATATGTCCTTTCTGTTCCAGATAACAATTAAGGATTCCTATTGTTATTTATCTTGTATGCATGGGCTATCTTCATCAGCAATTTTGTTTTGCTTTTAAGTTGCACTAAAAATGGGGATTGACAACGCTTCATTCATGAAATTATGATGGCCTCTAATGATTATGCAAAAGTCTCAGCAGCAGCTACAATGGTTTAACAACATAAAGTGAACCTGAGGTGCATTCAACAGCATACAGCTGCTACATGTAAAGCTAACTGCTAACTTAGACACTACAATCTTCAGCACGGCCCTGATGTACATATCCCGTCTAACTTCGAAGCTTCTGTGTACAATCTTAACTTTTTTAAGTTCTCTCAATAGGGAATGTGGGAGGGAGGGGGTAAAATCTAGAGAAATAAAATCTGAATTCAACAGACAACTGTCCACAAAAGCTGTGAAAACAGAACATACTTGTATTTGTGAAATGAACCCAAGAACTCACAGAATAAGGTCTTGCAGGAGTCGAACAATAAAGTCTTTGTCAGTATTTCTAAATCTAATGCTGGTAAACAATTCAAACATGTATAAACGACGTATGAATGGTTTCAATACATCAAGAGAGAAACCTGTCTCAAAATGACAACTTTGAAGCAGGTAGATAATTTTTATTGCTATAATATACCCTTTTAATGAGATAAATTTGTTATTATAATCCCCGGTGGGAGGATTTTCCGATATCATCATGAGCTTGCACGTACCTTCCGCTATAACTCTTCGTACTCGAAGTTTTTGCTGTCCCAGTTCTACAACTTGTCCAACAAAATCATTCTCTGGTCCAGATATATTCCCAGTTAACACACCAAAGGCGGATTTGAAGAAATCCGTCATTATTTTCGTAGATTATAACATAACATCAATGTTGTACTTTTACAGATGACGTCAAGGATAATTTATTTACATATCGAGCCCGATCTAAAAGAAAAAATCACAGGCCTTTAAATTATGATGAAATTTATCAAAAACTAGAAATTTACATGATAGATATTAAACGTACTTAAGTTGAATTTTTTTTTCATCTTTGAAAGATTATTTCGAGTTGTAACGTGTAAATGATTTTTTACCCCTGAGAAAATGGAATTGGATTTGGTGGAAAATACGATATTCCAGAGCTTAAATGATATGCATATTATTACATATATATGTTATAAATTTATCAAGAAAAGAAAGTAAAATCCGTAGGCCTACTTTCAGTAAAGATATTTATTTAGGAAAATTTGTTAATACTTCTTAAAAACGCGAACAAAGTCTTCCAAAAATAAAACCTTTAAAAACTGGAAAATTGGGATTTTTTAAAGAAATAAATAAAAAAAAAACATAAGACCCAAGGGTCACACCGCTCACCTGAGCATTGTGGCTAGGAAAAAAGCAAAACCAGTTTAGAACTGAAAGGCATAAATGCATAAGTAGTCCCGACCTACTCTTAAAAGGGAGAGAGGTTATGATTTGAAAAAAAAATGAAACTACTCTAACTAAAGATGCTTAGATAACTCTGACTAACTGTGACTTTCTCTACAAGTTTGAACTTCCGTTGAGGCTCCTCCCTACCCAAGGGGGTCAGGATTTGATCAAACATGAATCTACACCACCTGCAGATGCTTCCATAAAAATATGACCTATAATGCAATTGCTGTTCTTGAGAAAAAGATTTTTAAAACAGTTTTCCTCCTCTGTTAAACTTTGATCGTCCATTGTGGCCCCACCCTACACCCGTGGGTCATGTTTTTAACAATCTTGAATCTACACTACCTGAGGATGATTCTAAATGAGTTCCATCTTTCCCAACCTAATTAAAATCAGGCTTCTCAAATATGCGCCGTACGTATACACTCTGCGTAAGACGATTTTAATTAGATCATCTTTCCTGTCTAGTGTTTCTTGAGAAGAATATTTTTAAAGATTTTTCCTATTTATTTTTATGTAAAACTTTGATCGGCCATTGTTTCCCCATCCTGCCCACAGGGGTCATGATTTGAACAAATTTGAATCTACTCTACATGAGGATGATTTCACGTGAGCAGAGTTTTTTCCCACCGGCAAAATAAATATTTATCCGGTAATTTTCTTCATGTAATTTAGGGATCGGTAAAAAAAATTGGATCTTTCCGGAATTTTAACCTATTAACTTCTGAATTTTAGTTATGTGAGATTGTCTTAAGGGTATGAAAGAATAAACTCGAGGGCTTTTACGACAGTTAGTCATGATTTTTTGTTTGCCATATCTGTGTTTGTTCGATCAATCAGCTGATTCAATTTGTACAGAAATCTTTACTGTAGCTTTATTTGGGGTGCAACATATGTCAACCGAATTGCTAATCATCATTACCTTGAATATAAAGAGTTTTAAAATAATCATTTTTGTTACATTAAACATTTCCCCAACATTTTGAACTTCGTTTTCTGCGGTAGGCAGCCATGTTGGGTTTCTACAATAAATATCACACCTGGTTAATTCAGTCCGGTGAATTTCACTAAAGCACTTGACCAGTAAAATTTTTTTTATTTCAAAAACTCTGCGTGAGTTCATCTTCCTGGCCTAGTGGTTCTTGAGAAGAAGATTTTTAAAAGATGCCTTTAATTTTTCACTAATACATAATTTTATCTCTCCTTGGAAAAGGACATACGTTGTCCTTCTTTGAACAAACTTGAGCCCCATCACCCAAGGATACTTTGTGACAAGTTTGGTTGAAATTTGCCCAGTAGAAGAAGATAAAAATGTTAGAAGTTTATAACGCCAACAACGACAACGCCATCGACTGAAAACACAATTTTCTATCAGAACCTATGGCTCAGGTGAGCTAAAAATGTTAATAAAAAGATTTCCTAACCCGATTGAAATAAAACTGATCCCGGACGAAATTATAAAATATGGATATAATTTAATATTTTCGTCAGAAAAATAGACTTTTTGTTCTAAAATTGTAAACAAATTATTTTTACTTATTTAACAAATCGATTTCCCAATTGAAACTATATAAGCTAGACTGAATATTTATTTATAATTTTATATTACTTTTCATCGGGATCGGGATTTGGATTTCAATCATGATGATGTTTTGACGTTGTCAAGGATGGGATTTTGAAAGACACCAGACTTGAAAAGAAATTTTTACTTTCAGACTTTTCAGGGAAGTACCAACTTGAGGTAAGGTGGCATACGTTTCAATATTTTGAATTACAGTCGTTATATAATAAATTTGGTGAAAGAAATGGATGCCATATTCTTATGCATGGCCACTCGGGCACCTGCAGACGAATTATTATGGTTATCAAACTTTTGTCTGAACTACATCAAAAAATAGTGCCCTTTCTAACAGCACTCTGAGTGATAGACTTGTTAAAAAAATCATTTCTGGTGCATGTATTTTTTTTTCAACCACATATCCTCTCCAGGCTCTTGATTGTGGAGGATTTTTTTTTTCAAAGTAAAGAAGTGTTTGGCTCAGAGGGCTATAATTAATGAAGACTACGGAATATTAAGCCTAGTTATCTTTTTATTTGTTTTTTGTTGCATTTATAAGGGATATTTTAGATGGCACAGCTATATACATGTAGTTAGAAACTTCAAGAATTAGTTCTTTGCAAATATGTGCAAGGAGAAAAAGATCACAAAATATTTAAACTGCATGAAAAAAAATTAAAGGGACTTTTTCAACTGACATGAGACACTATAGTTACATGTAGTTGTTGTTTCTGACAATTTTGCAATGTCTTAATTCTTACAAAATAATATTTTTATTGTAAAACAAGAATTTGATGTCCAATATTAAAAAAAAAAAACATAATTGTTCTCATAAAAGACGTTAAAAATAAATATTTAGAGGAAATTTTGGTAACCTTTTGGGGATGTTTTAAATGCAGCTAAACTTTAGAAGTATTAGAAGTATTCATAACAATTAATGCTCAAATTGATGCTGGTTGTGTATATATTTAATTGTATTCAATCAAAATATAGGCATTTGCTCTACCATGGCTCCGCTATCATCTAATTATCATATTTTTACTTACTCCTATAAGTAAGAGCCTTGGTTAACGTCCCTATGCTCCTTACATGGTGCCAATTCAAAAGTATCTCGCTGTGAATTAACCTCTATTAATGTTGGAAATTGATCGATCCAGAATTTCTATGCTTATAAGTTTGCAAGCTAGGAATTTGTAGACCTGTATCTGATGTTGACCTTTTTTTTTTTTTTTTTACATTTTATGTTTCATTAACATTATAATGAAGAATGCAAAATTAATCCTTTAATGAATGTGCATTGTATTGATTTTTGTTTCATTTGTTTTTCAGGCAGAAATAAACTGTCAATGTCATACTATCAGGTTTGCATATTCATATTATATCTGTATCTGACATAAGTTCAATTTCAAAGAAAGAAACATATATTCACAATTAATATGAATTTTTAGGGGATAATTATTAATTGTTTGTCTTTGGGATGACATATCATATATCACTCATATGGCATGACATAGATAGAAACATAATGAATAAAAAAACATAATTAAGAAGGGAAAAAACATACAATGATAAAGAAATATATTTTAGATAATTGTAGGCATGAACTGATAATTTTTACTCCAGCATATTCCTTGGGAGTGCCTTAGCATTGAGTCAGTTTTTTTTTTTAGAGTAACTACCCCTCCTATGGTGGAGGTGGGGGGTATGGTGCATATGGGGGAGGATACACTAGTTCTGGTCCCCCTCCCCCACCACAGGGATATGGGGGCTATGGAGGATACAGTGCCTACAACGTCAACCAGTCGGCCTACAACCAGTACCAGATGGGAACCGCCCCTCCCCCTCCCACAGGGGGGTATGGAGGTTATGGAGGAGGAGGAGGTAAGTGTAGAATGATAGAAAATACGAAGATTTATTTATATAATTCCTTGCAGCCAGTTGGTTTCATGAGCTACAGCATCTCCCAAAACAGTACAAGGGTGTTCATGTAGTGTCTGTTTGTCTGCCTATTATTTCTTTATAGTATTTGTATGTATACTTAAAGCTCCTTAGCAAAAAGTTAAAGGAATTTTATTTCTTCAATAAAACACAATGAATGTAAAAAAAAAATTCAATGTTTTAGTGATTATCATTTGAAACTATTTGTATTTCAATATACTGGGATAGAGTCCTTTTACTGATGGATCTCATTCTGGATGCAGTGGATATAATTAACCCTGAACATTTGAATGTCAAGTTTTGTACAAAGATGGCAGTCATTGAAATTCATGACGTTGTCAAGGTGGAATTTCAGTATTTTAATATTTTCTTTATCCTCTAGGATATGGATCAAATCCATTCCAGGCAATTCAGGGGTGTTATCAACAGTATCAAAGCAATCCCCAGTATCAGCAGCAGGTTTGTGCTTTGCTTGTTATTTTCACATCAACACATACCACAGAAAATTAGGTTCAAGCAAAGACGAGGTTGATCTCATTTCATGAGTCAATTACATGTAAGATATGTGTTGTAATACCCAATAAATGTTACATAATAATGTAATAACTATTTACCGGTGTAGTATATAGACAACTATATGTGTTGTTATTATCATTTATTACCGTTGTTTAGCACTGGCAACCACCCCCACCACCGCCAGCACCACAGGGAATGGTAGACCAGTACAATCAACAGATGTACCAGAACCAGTGGTATGCTCAACAGCAAATGAAAGAAGTAAGACATTTCTTATTCACAAACTGCCAGCCTTAAAAGAGATAAACATTTCTTTTGCAATATAAATTGTATATGTAATTATATATTCAGAGTATCAGTGAGTGTGAGGGCTGTCACATTATAAATTTTTGTACTGTAGGTGATAATATCCAAGTTTTTGTTATTGACTTGTAGAAAAAATTGAAGCCCCTTCTCATTTACAATGAACTTTTTTTTTTTTGATTTGCTTGTGAAATTCAATCTTTCTTTTACTTGTAGCAACTTCAGCAGCAAATGGGCATAAAGAAAAAGAAGAAGAAGGGAAGGGTATGTATTTTATTTACCAATCAGAATTTTTAGTTCAGGATTTTTAAGCTGCTATATGTAGACATTTACTAGTTTTGATTTCAGTCAGAATTTTACACTAGTGTACATGTATTTAATTTGAAGTTAAAATGTTCATATACTGAATTTAGTGGTCAGCATATATTGCGTACATGTACATTACATTACATATTTAACTAAGAGACCAATACTGTGCAAGTTGAATTTTAGCATGATGAAAAGTAAGTGATTTGTCCTTGAAAATCAGTATCTAATTTTAATGAGAACTAATTTTAGTGGTTTAATGTTGCATAGAAATTAGTGATTTAATGTTGCTTATATAATATGCTTATCTCTAATGTGGAATAAATCAAAAAGGAAAAAAAATGAATCCTCATTTCTGCTCACTTGGTATATGGTATCTATATATACATTTACTTTTTGTTGTCAGAAACAGAGGAGAAGGGCAGAGGAAGAGGATGAAGAGGAGGAGGAGGAAGAAGAAGAGGAAGAAGCTATTGATGTAAGTGATCCACATTGTATCTAGTAATGTAGGAAAATGAGAATTTTAAAAAAGTTCATTTTTAGCTCACCTGAGCCAATGCCTAAAGCTAGCATTTCTGTTTGTTGATCCCTCTGTCCATTTGTAAATATATCTATTAATAATAACATTTTTACCTTATGTGTGTGAATGGGGGGGAGGCAGTGGGGGCAATATATCCACATTAGGGGATGAAAGTTTTACTTGGTATATTCATTTTTAAGTAAAATAATAATAACGATCTTCAATGATCAAATGCATTGACATTTGATGTTCATGTGGGAAAAATATCATGGGTAAGGTAAACACAGGAAATCCATGAACATCCCCCCACCACCCTAAAAAATTGATAGATCAACAGTAGTCTTCGTCCAGAATTTGAATCTTGTATTTTGTTTACAGCCAGATCTGGAGGCGAAGCTGAAGGAGAGACTGCGTACTACCTATATTGATGAGTTGATGCGCCGCTTAAAGGTCTCAGGAACTCTGGACATCACGCAGGGTACCATTGGGGCCTACGCTAGGTATGAGCCTGAAGACCCTGTCTTCAAATTCATGGCTGAAAAGGGTGAGGATTTGTCTGAAAATCCAAAATGGGATCCTGAATATGATGTGCAGTACCTGAGAGATGCAATGAAAGGGTTAGGTAAGATTGCAAATACATATATCTGATTAAAATGGTGATGTAACAAATACAGTGTATTTTAAAATATTTCTTTTTAAACTGAGTAGATATTTTGTATTTTTCTTGCGAGAGAAAAATTGAGGTGTTCCCCTATAACCAGAATAAAACATTAATCTATAACAATGGTCTAAGAAGAAGATCCCCCATATTTTATTTTATTTATATAAGGAACATCACCTGGTCAATTTCCAGTGACCTGATATGAAGTCTGCTTCTTGCTGAAAGTTATTGTTGATTAATTCTAAATTAGGTACAAATGAAGACGCCATCACTCATGTGCTGACCACCAGAAACAATGCCCAAAGACAACAGCTGAAAAAGATGTTTAAAACAGCCTATGGAAGGGTAGGACTTTTTCTATATTGTATACCTTACTTTTTTTTGCCTATAGCTATCATGCTAAATTCTTTAAAACTTTTAAAAATTAATTATAAATATTGGAGAATTGAGTTAGAGAAGGCAGAACTTGTGAGAATTAACTTTATAAGGAGAGTACATGTACAATGTAATACTTTGAAAATTCAATCTTGAAAATGGAATAATTGATAATAAGATAATTTTTAATTACATAATCCGTCTTATAAAGTCATTTGATCAGTCAAGGACCTTAAGAAATAATTAAGAATAGTAGGTTTGTTATTAAATTTGATTAGGATGAAAACTTGTATTATGACGAAAAAGACAATATCATCCTCTATGTATATATGGTATTTTTTGTGTATTCTGTGCCTTAAAAAAGTGTTTAAAAATCATTAGCTGATTTATCATATTAATTAATTAACAGGACTTGATTGAGGATGTAGAATCGGAGCTGAGTGGGGATTACAGATCAGCAATAATGGCACTCTTTGTCCCTCCCCCTGTGTATGATGCATACTGCATTAAAGAAGCAATTTATGTAAGTAAATTTACAGCACATCAATTGGCATGTAATTAAAGCAATCACTTTAAGTACAATTTCTGATAGCTATTCATCAGCAGTATCATGGGCTTCTTGTTATTGATTATAGAGTGATTGTGTTATTTACCTATGTGTTCCAGTTGTAATATTAATACTTTCAAAATAAAAGCAATGTAGATCAGGTTAGCATTATTACCCAGGAGCCTTATGTTTTAACATTATATGATAGGGACCAGGAACAGATGAAGCCAGTCTTATTGAAATTTTTATGACGAGAACTAACCCACAAATACAGGAATTGAGAGCAGTGTATGGAGATGGTTAGTTTTTATTGTTTTCTATAACCCAATGTAGGGAAATTACTATTATAATCCATAGTAGACAAATGTAAGCAGACAAAATTTCAGGAGACTTCAAGCATAAACTAATTTCCTATAATATTGATCATTATTAATTATAGTGGCAAGTCCTCACAGAAAAGTATCAGGGACACTGATAGAGAAGGACATTGAGGGAGACACCAGTGGAGACTTCAAACAACTGCTTGTAGCAGCAGCACAGGTAACTAGATTACATATAATATTTGTTAGATAATGGACAGATATTAATCTCAGAAATTCTATGAACAAAACAATCAATGGAAATTTCCTTCTTTTTATCAAATTAGCAATTGTCTGCACTTGGTCTTAAATTCATTGTTAAAATTGGTTGTCTAGTAGATACAGTGTACCTTAAAGATTAGAAATGTTCTAGTCTCAAAGCCCTCATTTGAGCTTAGACCAAAGAAAGAATTCCATCTGAGGGTATATTATCACTATAAATGAATACATGAAAGAGTAGATGACTTGATCAAGTACTATGGCCATAAAAACAATATACTTTTTTTCCCCTCTACAAACACCTAGGGTAATGACTGGATGTTTAAATACTACCAAGTACATGTATATCAATTTTGTCTTCAACATAATAATTTTCTTTTTGTCGTGGAATTTAATTTCATTTCTTTAATTAATTGAAAGTAAATAATGAAGTATAACTAATAACTTAATCCTGAGTTTTTCCCCCTATATGACAGGGTAATCGTAATGAAATCACCAGAGAACAGTTGGAAGGAGCAGTGGAGGAGATTGAAGTTGATGGACAAGGAACAGGAATGTTTCAGGTGAACTACTCCAAATTAGCAGACATGAAGAAAGCCAAGAGAGATGCAGAGAAGCTCTACAAAGCAGGGGAAGACAAATGGGGTACGGATGAAGAGGAATTTATCCGTATCTTCTCCACCAGAGATTACTACCAGCTACGAGCCACCTGGGATGAGTATGTCAAGGTAGGTTAGGACAACTGTTATTTGGAAAATCATTCATTCATGCCACCACCTTATTGTTTGTAAAATATCCATCCATTGGGATGATACCTTATGGGTCTCTCTCTATTTCTCATTAATATTGCAATGATCCTGTCTTTTTTTTTAATATTTCAAATTTAAACAATATATTAATAACAGAGAGTGTTTTCCTAGCATCCAGGATTAAGTTGTATGCTTTTAATTTTCTTGTATTTTCAGCTTACTCAAAGAGACATCACAAACTCTGTTGACAGAGAGACCTCGGGCGACTTCAGATCTGGCCTTAAAGCCATAGGTAACAGTTGTAGAAGACATTAGCTAAAGGATTTATCCATATTTTATATTAAAAAAAATATTCCCCTTTGTAATCAATGAGCTGAAAATGAATATGAAACAAAAATTACTATGAAGATTTCTACAGTGGCCCTAAAATTCTTGTGTTGTGATACAACATCCAAATACCATCTTGACTTTCCTCTTTTTTGTAAGAATATAGTTTCCTAACATTGGCTTTTGATCTATTTAAATAGTGGTATACAAACATCACTTTGATATCTGTATATACCGGTATACTTTACTTTCTTATCTTGAATGACACATTTTTGTCATTATGATAACATACCTGGTATAATTTTTTTCAAAGTAAAATTTTATCTTTTACAGCACAAAATATCAAGTGCAGACCAAAATATTTTGCCCAGCGCCTGAAGAAAGCCATTAAAGGATTAGGAACCGATGATAAGACCTTGATTCGTATCATTGTTTCAAGAGCAGAGGTAATTAAGAATTGTATGTGTAGGCTTTCCTTGTTCTGTTTTGAATTATCCAGCAGTTCATGTCCTAATAATTTAGGCCCAGTTATCCTGCAAACTGCAAATTTAAGAAAAAAATAATTTTCTGGATTTTGTATGGATGTTGTAATATATCTTTAATAACTTCTGACTTGGCATAGTGTTAATTTCAGGTTTAACCTTTATGTTTGATAAAAACCATGCACTGCATGTTCCTTGGGCTGATTGTGGCCAAAAATGGTACAGAGTGTTTGAAAAAATAATAATTCCATCTGTTTAAGTAGCATTTATAGATACAGGGTATTCTCTTTTGAAAGCAGATTCTGCACAGCTTTGCAGTGCCCTTGTTTGTTTAATTTTACTGTATGCTCAAGTAGATAGATTTTCAGTATGTATTAAAAATGCATGTGAACATGGTATAAAAACATTATCAACACTTTTAAGAATATATATGCTGTATATTCTTAGAAACCACTGCACTGTTTGTAGGTGACACCTTAGCTGTGGGCTCATTATTAGTGAGCACATCTTATCCAAATTGTAAATTTTGAACACAGAATTAATGAGCAGAGTTTGATTTATTTGTTTTATCTGAATTCTTTGGTTGTTTCAGATTGATATGGTCCAGATAAAGAAAGAGTTCCTGGCAATGACTGACCAGACCCTCTGGAAATGGATTCATGATGACACGAGTGGTGATTACCGTAAAGTCCTACTAGCTCTTGTTGGCAAAAATTGAAAACAATCAGCATACAAAGGACTCGATCTTCTTGGACTTTTATCATTTTCTTTTTTAACATGTATAGTATCTGGTATACTGTTGAATCAGGTCTAAGTTTTTTGATGAAACTATTTTTATTTAATAGTATTCTGTATTGTACTTTACTTAATGTGGTGGTTCTGTAAAAAGTAATGGAACTTATTCATGAGGAAACTATAAAGTGTTTCTCCTTTTCAGATTATAAACTGCAATGACTGCATGTCAGTGAGACTGCATATTGTTCAAATTTTCATGTTACTCTATCTATTGTATTATAAGTAGACGTAATATAACTGTATTTTGTGTTGGCTACATCTTTCAACCTATCATCATGATAATCATGCATACTTTTAACTTAATTATTGTATTTTTTATTATGTTAATTTTTCTATTGTAGAACTCCTTTTTATATAACAAAATATGTGTTCAATATTTCATAACTTTCCCTACTGTGTTTCAGTACTAAAACTATTATATTATCTTTCATAAGTAACTCCTGTCAAGTTTGATAAATCCTCTTTTGGACACCTTTGTTTTATAATCTTTTTTATGATGTAAATTTAATTTTTATATCTATTTACCGGTATTTTGGAATGGGTTATCATTAATAAAATGAAAAGAATTAAAAGTCACTATTCAATAAACTGAAAGTAATCATATGTAGGTAATGAAATCACTTAACTAGGTTTAATATTGTGTTTTTTAATTCTAATGAATTATTAAGTCATAGTTGAATTTATAGTGTTTACACTGTCTAATAGAGGGAGATTATACATGTAATTTTGAAATAACCTTTACAAAAAACCTACGGTTGTTGTAAGGCCTAGGTAATTGTATGAATTGTTGAATCATTAAAATTCATGGGTGTCAGTTTTTGTGTATAGTTTTTTTCTACAGGTTTTGGGGTTAGTTATTTGGTATATTCTCTTATACGTACAACTTGGAAAATATTAGTTATCCTAGGGTACATTGCCAGTATGAGATGGAAAAGGAATCCACCATCTAACTCTACCGATAGTTTGTTTGGAATTCATTTTCAAAAATTATTTTTAATTGTATCAGATTGAGAAGGAAAAAAGAAATTAGTCAAAATCTTAAAGACAACTTGAAATTTCACTTGTAAGCAAAATTTTCGAAGAAAGAAATCAAAACATCCTCAGGATTTACAATAAATACTGGCATAAAAATTCTCTCCTACTTCCGACTTGTTTAAAGATCTGACTTTTCTGACCTAGTGTATCGTTAAATGTAGTCATATTGTTTTTCCTGTAGTGAAAACAATTTATTGTTTTTTTTTTAATATTGATAGGCATTAACAGAAAATCTCTGATATAATTGCTTTATTCAGGAAAATATTTTTAAAAAATTCTCCACTTAAGAGTTTAGTATGAAAATCAAAAATTACTTTTAAATTTTGTAATCCTTGACAGTATTTTTTGCACAAAAATATCAAAAGTCGACACGTTTTTTAACTGAGCCTATACATGTATGTAAGCTTAATTCAATTTAAATTTTACTTGATAGCATTTTTTTGTAAATTTGGATTTATATCAAATACAACAAGCATACCCAAAAGTGAGAATTAAAATATTCCATTCCGTCTGTTTTTCAAAGTGAATTAGGTAATAGTCAGTTTCAAACTAATTTTCAATAAAATCATGTATAACAAAATTGGACTTAATTATTTTGACTGACAAGTATAGTAATTCTCATGTAAATAAAAAAATTATTCATCAGTCAAATACAAGTGTTTGTTTCCTCTGGATGTTTTTGCGTATCCAGTCCATATTGTCCAATGAAAAAAATAGTAAGGATAGCTCTGTCGAAAAGTACTTCAATATAATTTTTTATTGATAATTTCATTTAGTTGTTCTATGAAAAAAATATATTATTATATGATTGAATAATTTCCATCTCTCTGATTGGCTGAGATCCAACTATGTTAGAAAACTACTATGTTGTATTGACCTGCACGTGACATTCCAGGTCAATACAAGGATTTATTTCCTCTACATGGATCTAAAAATAGATTGGGAAATTCCAAATTGATACAAATTGTTTTGGAAAGCTATTTAAACAACTGTGATTTTTTTTTATGTGAAAAAAATAAGCGAAGAATATATATTTTAAAGTGATGGTGGTAAGAGGGGATGCAGGGACCCCCCTCCAACACTTTTACTGAACAACATGTTTTTTTTTTTTTACTTTTTGGCCGTCAGTTTTCCCTGATAACGCTCCTTCCTTTCAAAATCTATCCTATAAAAAGACTGACATTATATTATTTTTTTTTCATGGCAACTAAAATTGATAAGAAAAAACCATTTTAAATTGATACGGCTGGTAAAGGTTTATTCACATTTTAATTCTGTTTCTCTTCTGTATTTGGCTAGGACTTAATTAAATGCAAGTTAAAAAGTAATGAGCTGTACAATCATTTTATTAGTGAATCATATAATAAAACAATTATTGCTGTTTTTTCGATCAATACAATGATTTAACCATCTTCGAAGTACAATATTCGCCTCGCCCTTCGGGCTCGGTGAATGTTGTACTCCTCAGATGGCGAAATCATTGTATTGACTGAAAAAAACAGCAATAATTGTATATTATGTAAATTTATTGAAAAGCCCTTTGATGTAATTTGTTGTCGTTGTGGCTTACTGATTCAGCATAGGTAAAGTAAGCATAGCGACAATTACAACCGATGTAAACACAGGCATCGATTTTGAAATAGAATTTTTTTTTACTTACCTGAAAAAGTTCAAAAAAAAAAAAAAAAAGGAAAAAGGAAAATTTTGAAATGTGTGTGTGTGTGGGGGGGGGGGGGGTATATATGCAAACTTTTTTCACTACCAATTCTTTCCAATATACATTACTTAACCTTACAATACTATATTTCCTTCATATTACTTTACTTTAGTATAAAGTGGGGGGGGGGGGCTAGCCTTTCAATGAACATTTTCAATAGTATAAGTATTGTTGGCAAAAAAAGTGGGGGGGCAGCCCCCCCCCCCCCCCCCCCCCGCCTGTTGCTACGTCCCTGGTAAAAGAAATGGTTGCACTAAGCAAGGGTTATCAGCAAGTTTATCTAGGCTTATGAAAAAGGTAAATGTTAAAATAAGGCGCTTACAGTAAAAAGTACATATGTATATAGAATTGCGGAAAAGCAGCATAAGTTGTCGTGGAAAAGAAGAATTAATCAATGTCGAATCGTGAAAAAGTGTAGCTACAGAACTGTAGCTCTCCTGAAAAAAATATATTGACAGACCGGACTGTCAATATATTTTATACGGAGAGCTACAGTTCTGCAGCTAGAAAAGGTGGAACTGTGACGGTAATTTGTTAAAATGAAGTATCAAAGTAAAATTATGTCATAGTTGAGCTTCTATTTCTCACTTTCATATTTGGCATAATAGATATTTTGCTCTCCCTGTTTGTCCATCTGCTTATATAGTTATTTATTTTTCTCAGTCCCTCTCTTTTTCATTTGAACCGTTTTAAAATGGACACATTTGGTCACATACATGTATGTACATTGCTGGGTACTTGTCAACTTCCCTTACTTATGCAGCAATATACCTTCATCACCTCCATACGGAGTTTACATCTCTCTGTTGATTCCATACGCAAGAGCATGCTCTACGTATGTACACTCTAAAACGAGGTAAGATATATGGACAAACAAATTGATGAAACAAGAATGTCAGCAGTCTCGTTTAAAGTCATCATTTTGTAAATTCTATAGTCCATACAATGACTTTGTCAGCAAATAATGATTTACGTTTTATTTTTCATACTGATTGTTAGGCCATTATCTATACACTGAATTGACGATGGATTTTTCCGCTGTTTTCCGATCATGAAAAGGTCATCGGCTGATCGGTCAGCAGGGAATGTTCACTCCTCTATGAGACCTGATCCTACCTCTGATGTTTCGGAGGTTCCTATTTGCTCGCATGGACTTTTGAGCTTGAATACTGTTCGGTATCTCCAGATATTGCATCTTAAGCTTATGTGTTACAATTATTTTTTTGTGGTCATATTATGATTTATAGATTTAACCAACTTTGAAGTATGTTAATCGAGCACGGATTTTAGTTGTAAGGTGGGTAAATCATCGTATTGACATAAAAAACAATATTCTAATATTAAATGATACAAATCTTTCTTCATGTTTTACACTGGCGAAGACACTAGCCAAATGCAATGAAAAATATTGTGAAAATAAACACAAAATGTATTAATTTGGAATTTCTTAATCTATTTAAGAGATGAAACATTACTGTTATACTTCGGGATTTTTGTTTGTTTCATAAAGAATAGGGTAACAAGTCTACCATTTCAATACTGCACAGAAGACAGAGCAGGCATATTAAAACAGAATTTCAATTATTTTAATTAAGATAGTTTGTAATAACGCCGATGTAAATTGAATACATGTAAATAAAATTAATACTTTAAAAACAATTTATAAAATTTTAACCCCTCTGTGTGGGAAAAATTTCGAATCATATTCGCGTGCTTAAAAAATTAAAACAAAAATTTCAAAATATGAATAATAAAGCGTAGTTGCAAGAAAAAAAGAATTTATTTGTTGTAGGTTTGTAGCATATCCGGAAAGAATGGGTAATAGAGTGAAAATTAATTGTAGCTATCAAATACTCTGTGACATAAAAATGAATCTGAATAATGACATCAATATAACTTGTTTTTTTGTTGTTTTTTTTTTTACAATAAATACAAGAAGAGAGGTAAAATTTGTGAAGACCCCGATACATTTTAACAGGTTTGTGAAAGTATTTCACTTTGTTGGGGGGGGTTGTCGTGATTTGGATGTAGTTTAAGTTAGTCTTCTTTCGAATGATTCCTGAGGCTTGTTCAATAGAGCGAGCACTGACGAACATTTCTATTGCAGGAATAAGGAATTTTGAGTAGCGCTCGCTCTTTCTTAACAGGCCTCTGGTGAACGAGATAGAGCATTATTCACTGTTGGGATCAGTGGATGCTATAAATAGAATATATCGGTTGACGAGACTTGTTTTTCATTGGATGCACTTTGATCTCTCGATCTTTAGTCACGTGTTCATTTTGGTGGGATTTTTCTGTTGTTCTTTTGTTCACAAGTCGCCATACTGGAAGTGAGTGTGATATGTTTCCGTTGAATCATTTGTCGTGTTTTAAAGTTGACATGGATTTTTGAATTCTTATACCGGGTGAGTTGTCTTGAAATGAATGCATTTTGTTCCATTTCGTAGCGCAAGTTTGATTTTTTTTTTGTTGTTCCAAACTTGTAAAACTGAGTTGATCAGGACTGTGAACACAGGACAGTTGGGCAAATGTTCAAAGATTTTTCCTTGTTTATCAGATGTACGTCCTGGACGATGTCGTGAAATGGGAAATGCCCAGTTGACGGTATCTCTTCATTCGAGCAGCCGTGTTTCTGCAGTCATCGGCAGGTAAGATCACGTGACAGTTACAAAGTGAAACTGTATTAGTAGTTATTGGCAGTTACTTGAAATATGAAGATCAGGCTCATCGGGAATCCTGGGGGCATATTTGATATTTTCAGTTGGGGGCACTATCAACCACCAAAAAATCTTTCACAAGCATGCAAAAAAGGTCATTGAGCATTTTAATTGAGGGGGCAATCTTTTCAATAGTACTACTACTTGTTTTCTATATATAGTATACTGTATGTTTTCTATAGTATAATATATGTTACATTTTGAATCTTCAATCGGACAAACACAAGAAAAAGATACAGATAAGTCTTTTTATCAAATTGATCGATGCATGTATCCATAAGATTCATTATCAGGTCCAGCACAATACCCCGATAAAGGTATATAGCTTGATAAAGCTATATAGCTT